CCCCAAAACCCCAAAACCCCAAAACCCCAAAACCCCTGAGAGGGGAATTTCTATTGATGCTTCCTAAAAGTTTAATACATTAAAAGGAATATGAAGTCTTTCTAAATTTTGCTTAAAAGGAAAAGAATTAGAATCATTAAATGCAACAATTATATCTGAGAAGTTAGGATTATGCTCTTTGCATTAAAACTCTATCAAATCTGGCATCGTTTAGGAAGCATTAGAATTCTCATTCTTTTCCGAAGGATAGTTCATCAGTTCTTGGAGAGACTCGTTAACCTGACGTTCGTTTGGATGAGACTCACCGCTAGCTATTAGAGAAGGAAGAGTTGTTAGCTCAGATCTAGGATCGCATTCGGCTAAAATTGGATTCTTTCTCTCTTCAAAAGGATTTGTTTCAGTCTTAATATTATCTCCATCATTCTCGGCATTTAACTCACTATGTGGTCTCTTATTCTTTGGCTGTTTCTTCTTTCCCTTTTGCTTTTTCTTTTTTGCTCCTGTAGCCATAATCTCTGATTTGGAAGTCATACTAGGCACTTCTTTGAGTGCTATATCTTTCTGGCTCTGATCTTCACTATCTTTAGATAGTGTTATACTCTTTTCTAGACCAAGATCCCTGTCTGTTTGGACAGATTGTTCTTTAACTTTCTTTAGGTTGCTTAATTCCTGTAAAATCGGGATTAATTATTTTCCTTTGCTCTTCAAAGGTTTTAGTTCAAATTTTAGAAAGAGAAGTCTTAGAGGGAATACTTACTTGCTTATCATCAACTTCTTGGTTCTTTACCTCTTCTTTAGATTCTTCTTCAGAAGCTTCTTCATGCTGAGGTTGGCTATGACAGACATCGAAATTTTTCAGGGCTTCTTTAAAATATAAATTAAAGTTTTCACGGTTATGAGTACTCAACTCCAAAGAATTATATTCATTTAAATCCCTTCAGTTTTGTGGAGATTCAGCTCTTCGATAAAGTCCATCAGTAATGCCGTATCTATCTCGAGGAACAATTTTATTTAATAATTCCGGCTCTGATTGATGAGTTAAAAAGGGATGCTTTAATATCTCTTGATAAGTGATCCTATCTTTAGCATCTTTATTTTAATCACCTGTCAATAATATCTAGCAGAAGAGGAATACATTCTATTTGGCTGGATATTCTGTAGCTTCCACTATCAGACTTAACTCTATAAATATTAAGCTATTACATCAGCAACAAAGGAAATTTTACAAATTTAGAAGTACTAAATAACTAATGATCAAGCCAGAGAGACTAATGGAATAACCAATCATATTACACAATGCTTGGCTTATAAGAAGTATTCAAGACATTTATCTACTTGACATACCCTAAATCGCTTTCTTTAGGTAAGATTGTGAATAAAGCCAGGTATTTATAAACTTTGAGTCTATAATCTATCCTAAAAAGCTTTCGCTGGAGATTTACCATAAGAAAATGATCATTAACATTGGCTAAACAATGCAGAATAAACTTTATGAGCTAAATGTTTTCCAAAAATTCAAAAATGTCTTTTCCTATTTAAAATATAATAGAACAGTCAGTTTAGAAAGTATAGGTGAAGTTTGCTAACTAAAAATGCTTTAAAATAAAACTCGCCTAATTCAATTGGGTATAAGGCTTAGTTAGAACTGTAGTTTATCACTAGTTGAGTCTTCTTGAATTGAGTAAGATATGTCATATTATAGTCTATAGATATTTTTACTTCTGTGGTTTAAAATCTTAAAAATCTGCAGAGGTTAAGAAGAGATCAAAGAAAATCTAAGCACAGATTATTTTCATTAAAATTTCAAGGATTAATCATTGGAGCTTCAATGTACCTGTTTATATCAACACTCTCAAAGGGAGGAAATCCGTACCAGAGTTGGTACAGCATTATATGCCTAAGGACCAGATATCAACTGATCTATCATAACTAATAATGGTTTTGTATAATTCTGGGCCCATATAGGTTGGTGTTCCTAGCCTTGATTTTGTGACATCTCCATCTTCAATCATTTTAGCAAAGCCGAAGTCACCCACGATGACTCTGAAATTTGACTCATTCAATGAATTCTCAGAGGTAAACTTTGATATGTACTCATTATCTACTTTTCCTCCTCCTTCATATTCCGGGAAGTCTAAGAAGATATTCTGAGGCTTGAGATCTCTGTGGCAAATAAACTTCTTGTCAAGGTAATTCAGCCCTTCAGCAACTTGTTTAATGATTAATTGGTATGTATTCAAGCTGAAAGATTTCTTTTTGAGCTTCCAAAAGTTTGATAGATCATTTCCATTGCATAGTTCTGTAATTTGGTAGATCTGTATAAGATAATAACAGAGATTAAATATTTGGTTAATGGCTGGACAGCAAATCTCATAAATTCTTGAAATCTAGTTAGAATTAATAGTTAAAATATTTAGTCTTGGTATTGGTCTATTTACAGTATTAATCATTATTTTAGAGGTTTTATCAATTGCAAACTTCATGGCCATTTAGAAATTTAGGCAGAGGCCTTTATTTTAATATCTTAAATTATTCATAGAGAAATTATAGGTCTCTAATAGCAAACTTGGCACGAAGATTAATTTTGATTAAGATACTAAGAAGTTCAGATTGTATCCATAAGCTGAGCAGCAATTCAATTTCTTACTCTAAGCTTTTTATAATGATCAAAAGATTAGTTTTCTTATACTACAAAGAAAGAATTGATAAGAGCTAAGTTACTTCAGTAAGGAGATCATTCTGATAAAGAATCAAGCTTATTTCGCTTGAATTTAAGTCGACCAGGATGAGAAATATCATTGTGATATTAATTTGATCTATCAAAACTAAGACTTTCTAGAATCTTTCTCAAGATAGAGAGAGTTAATCATCCATCAAATTTACCTCATTCTTGTCTCTATTCGTGTAAATATCGATCAGCTTGAGAACATTCCTGTGATTGCTCATTTTCATACAGTTTGCTTCACCAATGGCGTATTGTTCCATCTTATCTCTTTTAGTACCTCTGAAAGGGCTCAATTTAATAATTTTTCATACTCATTGTTTTCCTTCTTTAAGTATCTTCTTCTTTGAGCTTGATAGTAGATTACGGTCAATTACCGTACAGAGGTAGACTTCTCCAAATGCTCCTTTGCCTATTACCTCTCCAAGTAAATAGTTGCCAATACGGCGAGATTTAGTCTTAGGTTTCGGACTAGACTCCATAAGTCTTTTTATTTATTCAATTGTTAAATTATGTCTCGGGGTTTTGGGGTTTTGGGGTTTTGGGGTTTTGGGG